GTTTTCCATAAAAATTTTTGCTTGATTCAACACTAATCTCATGCTTCATTTTAAATAAAATGTAAATAATCCAAAATACTTCAATATTTAATATCTATCTATCAGATGTTAACATTACAGGTTACAGTGACTCAGCACCCCCATGGTAAATTTAATTTTGCTTGTGGAGTTACCAAAATTAAATTAAAAAATTAAAACGAATGTAATGCCTACTTCAAATGCGAAAATGTAACATCATGGTAACATGTTTACATTGATTTGATATTAAATTGTTATTAGTCATTTCTTACAAAAAATTATTAAAATACATTTATTAATCACCTTAACATGTTAAACAACAGCCTGTTAACAGGTACTGAATTGTGTACTAATAACAATTTCTGTGCATTCCTTTTTTTTTTAAATTATTTATTCCCAAAAATCGGCAAAATATTACATTAATAGAATGCGAATTTGTAGAGCAAACAATATCTAGCATATCGAATGATACGAAGTTTTGGTTTATTTTAAATCAAATTCATATTTTGCTTTTGAATATATGCCTATTACGACACTTCCTTGATACAACCAATTTACATGTGAATACTTTCAATGATTACCTTTGCTTCTTTATATCTTTGAAATGAATTTTAAGAGTTATCTCTTGCTATTTTGTTTAAATTAAATATAATTTTAAAATTATAAATTGACTATCACTATTATAAAATTACGAATGATATATTTTGATGTAACTTGTGAAAATGTAATAAAAAAAATGGTTTATAAATATCCAAGAAATACCTTTGGAAAATTAAAATCAATGCTTATTTAAATAATCAAATAATTTAATAAAATTTTAAATCAAAAATAAAATTAAAACGTATCTGATCATACATTTTTTAATAATGAATTTTTAAAAAAATATGGTGTAATTTATATTGTAGTATATCATTTAATTTTTCTAAATGTATAATAATTACTAATAATGACTCGTTATCCAAGGTAAATGAAAATAAATGTTTAAAACTTTCAGACCCCATTTTACAATATTTGTAAACTCAATCAGTTCATTAGGGTGTAATTAGTAACAAAAACAAACAGGAGGATAATGACAAGTATTACAAATAGAACAAAGGACAAATAGTAATTTCACATCAAAGAGCATTCAAAGCACTTTATACAAATAAGAAAAAAAGGTAACATTTTAAAGTTGTATACTTTAATACAATAATAAACAATGGCAATTTTACACCTTCAAACATAAGGTGTTCGTGAAGATTTTATTCGTAGTATTAATGCTTTATAAAAATTCGTTTTACCTAAAAAGTCGGCTAAACCTACAATGTATGACAATAGAAGTAAGTAAATGAAATGTTTTCCATTGTTAAATAATTTAATTAAGCCCTACAAAATCAAATGCCCTATTTAATCAAAGAAAAATTAATTCAATCGGTTCCATCATGAACACCTTATATTCAGTGTAAAAAGTAAGTTTTTGAAAATTAAAATAATCACAGCCAGTTATAAAAATTATGGTACTTACGAATCTTCGGCGTCCCTGTCTCTGTAATCTCTTTCTCTTTCACGTTCACGTTCCCTCTCGCCTCTACTGCGAGATCTATCTCTTTCCCTATCCCGTTCCCTGTAGTCAGAATAATATCGATCACGTTCACGATCTCTATCACGATCACGATCTCTATCTCTACTTCTTTCCCTATACCTAGAAAAAATATATACAATTGCATTAGATAACAATGATAGTAATCTATTATTGAAACTACAGTTCATATTAAGCTTTGTTAACGGAGAATATAAAATATCTTACAATGAGGTAAAACTAATTTTAACAAAATCTTCTAATAATTACTCACCTTGAAGATGACCTGTCGCGTCTTCCTCTCCTGTGGGTTCTTTCTCTGGACCTTGACCGGTCCCTGCGTCCCGAACTGTAACTCTTATCTTCGACCCCTCTTAATGTGTCTTGCAACGAACTTATCAATATCTTGCATCGATCGTCAGCCGCAACCTTTGACTGTTTGATTAACGAGATGGCCGTAACAAGCGTTTCTATCGCGCTCGCATACTCTCCAGCAGCCGCATCTGATACCGCCCGTGCTATCGCCGAACTCGATACAGTTCGGTTGCGCGACATTATGTCTTCGAACTCCTGCTCACTTAATTGAGCTATGTCTGGCCGATGATCCGGAGCCACAGAACCGGGACCTCCATACTGAGATTGGGGCACACCTGACGGCGGACCATAACTATGCGGAGGTCCGTGGGGAGGTACCTGGTTGGGACCCATAGGAGGACCGTGCGGTGGACCATGAGGAGGACCTTGTGGTGGTCCGTGATGTGGCGGCATACCCCCTGGACCTGGTTGCATACCTGTACGGATATTAAATTAGTAAATCCATTCTACTGCAATTTAAGTAAAAACAGGTTAAAATGAATAGTAAAATATACCATAAAAGTGCTTTATTTACCTACTAAAAGCAACCATGTTGTTACTATAATCACTGCCTTATTTCGGTTAAAAAGATGTCAAACAATAATTATCAATGTTAGGGATAAAAATTACATTTAATATGAATTATCAAAATCAATGTGGTTAACTAAGTAAAAAGTGGGGCTTCCCTTTATCATTTTACTGTTTGTAATAAAATATAAAGCTGCAAGTCCGGCGCTGCGCAAACCCACGTCAAAATTCTGTTTTACACTATTAAAAAAGTAGAACTAACCACAAAGCAGACAAACCTGCCCGACTACACATTGTACGTCTCTGGTTATTTTTCACATGGACTAAAAACAATTCAAATGTCCATGTTGAATTTATGTCTAATGAAATTAACTATTGACTTACCAGGATGTTGCATCTGTGGTGGGGGTCCGCCTTGTTGGAAGAATGCGGGATTCACGTGGGGAGCAGGTGGTCCCTGAGGCGGTCCTTGTTGCGGTACTCCTGGTGGGCCACTCATAGGTGGAGGACCTCTGGGTGCCATATTAGGTGGTCCCTGCATTGGTGGGCCTTGAGGAGGAAATCCCTGTTGCATGGGCGGTCGATTCCAATCAGGTCTCGGACCACCACCTTGAGGAGGAGGTCCTTGATTGGGCGGACCACGAGGTGGACCTTGTTGCTGAGGAGGTCCTTGAAATTGTTGCTGAAACAAGTCCTCGATGGGCATTTCAAAATCATTCAAATATTTAATTTTTTTGAGGTAAAAGATGGTACATTTTCATTAAATTAAATGTTTCATTGAAAGGTTTATTTTTATTTTTAAAAGTTTAAAATCTAAATATGCAGCAAGTACTCACACCACTGGGAGACTAATCTTCAACGGGACAATTTTGTCGTTTTAAAATATTTTACATTTTATGACACTTCAATGAATATTTAATAAGACTCGATAATGTTTTGAATATGTCCACTTATTTTCGATCAGTTTTGAAATAAACAAGAAATTAATGATCATTAAATTTAAAACATTTAAGGGGAATATTTTATTAATGAAATCTAATTTTTGCAAATTTAATCCTATTTAACTAAAATACTGAAAATTTAAAGTATAGCAAAATAAAAGAAATAAACTTTTGTTATAAGATAAATTGAGTACTAAAAATGAATGTAAAGATCAAAATTAGTAAGTCAAGTAGGTACCTACTTCTAATAATAGTTTATCCATAACATACCTTAGTCTTTCCTTACTTCCATTTATTGCACACATTCAATACTTTCCCTTTGGCATTTGTAAATCTGACTACATAATTTCCGAGTCTTAAACTTTTTTTGTAAATATTTAACAAATTAATGCACCATTCCTAAATTAAATACATTAATAACGTAACTACAACTTTTTTCTGATCAAAACATTAAAGATTTTTTCAATAATTAAGTTACCCATTTAAATTTACAATTATTTAATATTACTGTTACTGATGATATTGAAAATGTATACCAGTGACCAGAAGAAATGCTTTCAATTCGTATAAATCTTTGAACCCATCAAACTTAACTACGAATAAGTGTACCTAGCAAAGGGACATAGCGTGCAAAAAAAGCCAATACCTCAAGATACATGCCGTCCTAAAAAAATCAAACGTGCATTAGACCATTTGATTGTAAGATTATAAACAATTAAAATTTACCATCGGTGGTCGAGGTGGCCCTTGCATTCCAGGAGGTGGAGCACCTGGTCTCATCTGTGCAGGATTTGGTCCTGGACCAGGCATAGGTCCATTCGGCCGCGGACCATTCCACTGTGGATTCTGAAATCTTGGGGGTCCTTGGTTCATTTGTCCCGGAGGACCGTTAAAACCCGGTGGAGGACCTTGCATCCTCGGACCTTGAGGTCCTTGCATACCCGGATGGGGTAAGGGACCTCTCATGGGTGAACCCATAGGCATACGAGGGAAATTTTGTGAAGGAATGTTTTGATTTGATTGCCCCGGGTGTTGACCTCTGGGACCTGAAGAGTTCGGTGGCGAAGGACGCGTTTTCGACTGACTTTCGAAAGTACTTAATGCTTGTTTCGTGGGATACGTTACAACTGGATTTTGACCGTTTATCTCTTTTTTCGGCAAACGTTCCATACATAATCGAACACTCGCTTCCGAACCCATTGAAATAACGCAAAAACCTTTGGATTGTCCGTTCGCGCGATGCTCAAAAAATTTTACTTCGTGAAAATCGTTCACGCCAATGTCACGAACAGCATCGGCTATGTTTTGATCAGTCGTCCACTAAAAAAGCACAACACTTCAACTTTCTAATAAAAAATTTACACAATAAATTCTAAGTAGGTAGGTACATTATCAAAGAAAGGTACATTGTCAAAGAATTGGTGGACACAAATATATTATATCTAAAAAATTTAGATATGTGACAGAACCTTACTAATGTAAATCCTAAAAGTAACCAGACACGTTAACAAATTTAATTTTTAATCACACTAATATCAGCATTTTACTTAATACTTTTAACACAAAATACCAAATGCACATATTTAGAACAAAAACATTCGTTTATTTTAAACATTTCTACATGTACCTACAGATTAAATTAAATTGTATTTCTTGGAAATAAAGAAATGAAAAATTAAAACAAAAAAAATGAATTATAAAATTCTATAAAGTGGAGGCATTGAAATCAGATAAATGGATTATAAAACTTTGTATTAAATTAAAGTCGTGTAAAAAATAATAAAAATTATTTTTTAATTTATCAAAATCATGTAAAAACAAAATGTTAGCATTTTATTCTTATTCATTTGGGCAACTGTTTCAATTAACAAAGCTCTACCCCTAAAGTTGTTTTGTAAACATGTAATTTACTGCATTATGTGTAATATTAGTTAGTTAATTATAATATCATTAAAAAACATAAAACATTAAAATAGATATTTCATTTGATGAAAATGCCTTCAAACTATAAATATACAGGTAAATTTGTTTTCAGTATTTAAATAAAATACAGAAAATTTGAATAAAATTAATCTGTGTGTACTACACACTTTATGGTTACCCATATTTATTAATTAATGAATTAATGGCTGACATTTAACCAAATGTTTAAGACAAAAGTATGGTTATATTACACTGTGATTAACAAAAGTATAATTACTTTAAGCAAACAGTCCACACTTGTATCATTAAAATTCAAAATAAATAATCACAATTGTTATAAAACTTCTTTTAAACAAAGATAATAAAACTTACCCAAGTCAAATTTCCAACATACAATTGATGTCTACGACCAATTGTAGTAGGTGTTATATTATTCCCCTGGGTTTGATAAGTTGTTGTACCATTTGTTTCTTCATTATTTGTATCAGCATTCGAATTATGATTTGTTTCAGCGTTATCTCCACCACCGCCTCCTGTAGCAGGGGTTGAAATGACATCATCGTACAAATCGACATTTTCACCAACGAAATCGTCCTAAAATATTAATAAAATCGGTAATATAAAGATTGTACTTTTTCAGAATTATTAAATAAAGGAGCAAAAACAAACCACAAAAAATAAAATGCCGGTCAAACATTTCCTAAAATTCTAAGAAACTGATAACAAATAAACCTAGGAGAAATACTAAATATTAAAAGTGTTATTATTGTTATCAGCAATTTTAAATCATTCCTTTTAATGTAATTTCACTTTTATTATATATTACCTGTGCAAAATCTTGATCTATATCGTCAGCATACAAATCTATGTCGTTCTCCGCCATCTTTGCAGCACAAAAACGAGTATTATTATTATTATTTGTAATTGCAAAGAGGTGAAATATTTTGTATTCAGCAATGATGCCAAGTTAGAAAATTTTATGGGCTAATTTTGCAACGATGATATCTAGTGATGCTTAAATTCCATAAAAGTAAATCCACTGACTTTGATGTTGTAGCGATGTAATATTATGCCAAAATTATACAGTTCATAATAATTATTTTTCACAATGGTTTTTAAATTAAGATGGCACTTAGTAAATTTTAAAACTTTGGCAACCTCGTCACAATTAGAGTTTACAGTTTTGACAGCAATTATTTGAATGTATAACAGATGTCACCACGTTGTTTATTTTTAATATTAATTAGGGAATATTTAAAATTTAAACCTAAAATTCCGTAAAATTATAGTTAAATTAATATTTTGTGTTCTTAAGAAAATTGATTTTGGTGGCCTTTATTTAGTGAAAGTTTTTGTCTAATGTGCCATTTAATAATAATATTAAAAATAAATTCAACCTGATCTATCGATATTTTTTATGAAAACGAACTTTTTTTATTAATTGATTGATTATGCTTTTAAGGTCATTTTCATTAAACTTTTCAATTATCTGCCACCATACATAACNGTATTTTTTTCTCCCTACTTAGGAACTGATTTTTTAATATTTATGACATATAAAAAATTACTACACAGGTTAGGCAGAAAATAGTGCTGCTGAAAGCTCTAATGTGGTCAGACGTATGTAATTAACTGTGCGGTCAAAAATAAAAAAAAATACCTTTCGATGCATTGGCCATTAAGGCAACGAAACTGTCTTACGTACATACGATGTAAATCAATCTATAAAATAAAAAATGCTTACATTATATAAATATATTATACTAGGCACGTTGCGGTATCGTGTATAAACTAAACATTACCTAAAAATACGATTAAATTAATGTGTGGGTGAAGGAACAGGTGAAGGTGGTGGAGGTAAGGGACTAAAGTAAGTAGATGAACGAGAACTTGGAGAAGGGGGACAACTTTCACTTTGGCAATGAGATCGCGGCGTGGGTGGGGGAGGAAACGGACCCGCATCATACCGACTGCGCATTGGATAGTTGTAATCACTTTCGTCACACACATCAGTAGAGCACGGAGTGGGAGGAGGGGGTTGATTAATTACGCGGTAGTGACGGTAAGGGCGGTAACGTGATGACGGACTGCTCCCCCTTGTGGAGGCAGCTGTGGTGGCCGGACTAGGGGGCGGATTAAGTGTTTCGCGTGGATAACATAACAAACTCGATCCGTTTGTACTACTCGAAGCACCAGTTATATGATTGCGGTCGTAACTGGAGCTGTGGCTTCCGTTGAGCATAGACATGTGAACTACGTCAGGAATACCAGAAGGAAAAGCTGTAAAGACGGTAAAAATCTCAAGTAATTTTCCGAATGAATTAAAGAATACGGTATGGATTTTTTTAAAGAAAATAATACTCAATGAAACCTCAACACTGAAAAATTAGTGATAAAATTGCGAATTTCTTAAAAATTGCTACCTTAAATCTAGTTTTAATCAAATGTAAAGTTTAGGCAAAATTCACCAAAATCATTCTTTTTAATAATTATAATTTAGGAAATATAACTAAAAGATATCAATATATTGTGTAGATACGCATAAAATTTCACCAAAACAGATACATGGGTTCGATAAGTAATAATTTAACACACCATTAAGTTTTTTTTGGTTTTCGTATTATTACGAAATTTGTAAGAACCTAGCAACCATATGTACCGTTTTCCCTTAGGAAAACCCACATTAACCCTAAATTTTTAGATATATTTTCAAAAATAAAGGGCAAGCATTAAAAACGTCCTAACAATATNTAAAAGATATCAATATATTGTGTAGATACGCATAAAATTTCACCAAAACAGATACATGGGTTCGATAAGTAATAATTTAACACACCATTAAGTTTTTTTTGGTTTTCGTATTATTACGAAATTTGTAAGAACCTAGCAACCATATGTACCGTTTTCCCTTAGGAAAACCCACATTAACCCTAAATTTTTAGATATATTTTCAAAAATAAAGGGCAAGCATTAAAAACGTCCTAACAATATAAAAGAAAATTATTATTAAATTCCTTGCAAGTTACAACTACACCATGCCCCACTGAACTGTAAAATATTTACGATAATAAAAAATGATTTACCTTTACGTATCTTATTATGCATTTTAATTTGAGTCCTTAACTGTTGCGGATTTAAAAGATCCTCTGACTGATCGTTCAAAGGGCCTTCGCTACTTGCACATCTTTTTCTTAAGTAGAAGAATATCACTGAAAAACCAACGACTACTGACACCACGGTGAATATGACGATGATAGTAATGTTGGCACCTCCCCTAATGCCCGTATAACCCTTTGCTTCCGCACAAACAAACTTGCGTTCGTCTGCGCCATCTGCACAATGTTCCATGCCATCACAAAGCTGCGATAC